ATTTAAAAAAGATTTCCCTCAATTCAAGTCAATTTATAAAATGAAATTGGTTTTAATTGTACGCGGCGGACTTGACAATATTCTTAATTACAATGAATGGGAATTTTATTTTTTATTTTGTTTTTCCCTTTTTGTAGCAGTGAAAATAATTGGCGATTTTTTCCCTCATCAAATAGAAATTATAAAAAAAAAATCTAGAAATAGAAATTTGTTTATTTTAAATTTATTTATAATAAAATGGGAATTAATAAATAATATATAAATAAATAAATAAAAATAAATATTTACTTATAAATAAATATTTATTAATTTTAACTAGTCGAAAAAAAAATTTTTTTATTTTTTTTTTTATTATTATCTTTCATTCATGGAAAATGTTTAAATATATTTCTAAACTAAATATATAAAATTTTAAAAGAAAAATAATTTTCTTATCATTCTCTGCTGACGCTATTGTGTGCGTATGTGTATTTTTTTTTCTTTATTTGGCATGAGCTCTCGTAAGTCTTGAGAATTCTTCTTTTTCATAAAAAAGATAACGCTAATGAAATTTCTTTATAAACCTCAAAAATATAAATGAGAAAATAAAAATGAAAAATTCTAGAATATATTGTGTGTTGCTTCACAAAAGAGAATGAAGAATTTTTAAATTATTATTTTGCCGCAATATGAAATTAATTATAATTTATAAAAGTTTATAATAAATAATATAGGAAAAATAGTTAAAATAAAAAAAAATATTATAAATAAAAAAATATATAAATAAAAAAAAATATACATAAAAAAAATATATTTATAACACAATTTCGGCGCCGCTGATTAAGAAAGTTTTTAAAACATAACCTAAAAGTTCGGATAATTTAGGGCAATTCTACAATAACTATTGTTAATGTTATCAAAAGGAGAACGTAGACATGACAAAATTTCAAAATTAAAATTTAATTTACAAAAAAATTTAGTATGAATATAATTTTAAAATCGAAATTATTTAAGGCTATTCTACAATGGAATAACTATTATCGATGTTACCGAAAAGCAAACGTAATCTTAACAAAATTTAAAAATTTCATATTAAAAAATCAGCATAAACAATTCCAATTGTAGTCGTTTAAGGTCAATCTACAATTATAGAATAACTATTTTCAATGGCGATTCTAACCTCAAAATACAAACGAAATTAAGAATAGAAAAATGAAAAATAAACACAGGTGTTTGTCTTTTAAATTAAAATTATATAGAGAGAATAAAAACAAAAGGGAGAAGAAAAATAATTAACATTTTCTTTTTACAATTCTTATAAAGCCAAAATAAAGTGCGAGAAGGAAAAGTATATTTCATTAATAAATCTTCGTCTTTCATTGTCGTTGTTAACTTTTGCGAGGGTGGTTTTCGTGGATTGTTAATGGTCGTTGGGTCATGAGGAATGGGTTGAGAAAAGAGAGAGAGAGGTGGGGGGGGGGGGGGTTATTCTCACTGTTGGCGCTATTTGTCCTATTTTCGGCAATGCCCCACCCATATTTCGACTCCAATTCTCTACCCCTTTTACTTCAATTTCATTCCAATTTTCCCCCGAGGAAAACTTTCACGAATGGAATTCGAAAATATTGTTTTCCTGTTAATTACACGAAAAGTGAAAATTGTTTCGTCTCTTTTATTGTGTTATTGATATTTTCTTTTAGTTCTATATTTTCCTTCTTTATTTTTATTTTTTCTTCTTTCTGTATTTTTTCTTTTTCCCATATTTTTCTTTTTTTTTATATTTTTTGTTTGTATATTTTTTCTACTTTCTGTATTTTTCTCTCTTGTTTTATTTTTTCTTTCTGTTTTCTTTTCTCAATTTTTTTTATGATTCACATATTTTTAACATTTGAATAGTATTTTCTTTAATTCCCTGCTTTTCGCACTATTTTCGTTTTTTTTTTTTTTTTTTTTTTTTTTTTGAAAATTCGTTTAAATTTTTACCTACAGAGTATTTTATATTTTAAGTTCGATTAATTTTATTTCCCCCTAATTTTTGAATTTAATTTTAAAAGAAGGAGAGTGAGAAAAAAATTAAATTAAATTATAATAATAATTAAATTTGAAAACTATACGAAACTTAATAAAAGTAATCTATTTTTTTTGTGTAATTTTTAGTTTCCTTTTCCTTTTCTCTTTTTTTTTGTTTTTAACTTTACAAAAGTTATGATTACATCAGAGAGCAGTTGGAGATTTGAAGCGTGACACGTGACCGCGAGGAGAAAGTTTGCTAAATAAAATTGAAGTAAAGAGACAGAGAGAGAGAAAAAAGAGAGAGAAAGAGAGAGAAAAAGGAATCGAAAAAATATAAAAGACCTTTTTTTTTCTTATTTTTATCCCTTCGCGTACAATTTTCTTTTGAATTGAGAAAAGCAATTGACTTTCCTTCACTTCATGGTCAGGAAAGAATTTCAAGAAAATTGAAAAAATTGAATGAAAAAGAATTAGAAGAAATTTTTATTCAAAAGAGAAAGATGATTGATTTGTAGAGTAATATTTTTACTGATTGGATTTTTTTTCTGATTTAACTCGTCGATCTACTAATTAAATTTTAATTTTTTATTCATCTTTTTTTCTTTCACATAATAATTACAAAATTCATGAAAAGTTATAGTTTTGTCGTCGCTCAACGGCGAAAACTATTATTTTAGATATTCACGTGACGAAAATGACACTAATTTCACCTCTTATTTTATTCTTTTTTTTTAATTAAATAAAAAATTTTTAAATTATTACTAACTAACAAATTCAATTATTTTTTTAAACTGTAAAATTTTTTTTTTCGAATGTTTAATTATTTTCAACAAAATTTTAATAAATTCTACAAAACAATTTAATTTTTTTTTTTAAATAGTAAAATTTCTGTAAAAATTCAATTATTTTCTAAAATATTTTAATAAAGCCTTCGAAAAAATTCAATTTTTTAAAATTTTTAATAAAATTTATTGAGAAAATTCAATTCTTTTAGAAAGTTTTTTATTTAATAAACTTCTGAGAAGAATTTAATTATTTTCTAAAATTTTTAATAAAATTCAATAATTTGTTTAATTTCAATTATTAAGAAACACATAATTATTTTAAAAACTTGAAAGTAATTGTTCGTAAAATTCAATTACTGTAAAAATTTTCTATTAAAATTATTAAAGAAACTATTATTTTAAAAAAATTCAAGGAAATTCTTCAAAAGAATTTAATTAGGATTTTCAAAAATTTTTGAATAAAATTCTTGTCAAGAATTCAATTATTTCCATAAATAATAAAATTCTTGGAAAAAATTCAATAATTGTATTTTCAAATTTTTTTGATAAACTTCTTTGCAAGAATATTCAATTATTTTCATAAATATTAAAATTTCTCGAAGAAATTCAATTATTCTCATATTTTTACATTGAATTTGGTTTGTAGAAAATCTATCTAAATTAAATTTTAAAAATTCTTCGTAAATTTCGTTTATAATTTGGATATTACTTTTGAAGCGTGTTTTATTTTAATTTTTATCAGTTTCTAAAATTATTTTTATTAATTTCTATTTTGTTCCTTGAACTTTCATAATTTTCTCAAACCTGAAAAATATACAAAACAAATTATTTTTAGCACCAATTTTTCAATTATAAATTTTTTTCTCTTTTTCATCTTTCATAATCGAAATAATAATTTTACTATAAATATAGTTGTCATAATTTTCCTATTTTTCATTAAATGATACATTTTAAATTCGATTTAGCAGAAGGTTAGAGGAATTTAATTTTCAACATGGGATTTTAAACAATTGAATGTTGAATTTTGAGTAAAAACAGGTAAAAATTAGAATTTTCTTTCAATAAGAAAGATAAGAAATATTTTTGTTATTTCTTTTTTTATTATTTGATATCCTTCTTTTTTTCATTAGAAAATTTTTTTTTTTTTATTATGAAAAATGAAATAGTAGTAATTATAAATCAATTTATTTATATTTTTATTACATTATATTAATCTTTTCTTATTAAAAAATTAATTATTGTTTATTTATATTTTTATATGTTGTAAATTAAAATGCACCTAATTCATTGAAACACAGGTTTATAATTTTTTCTTGAGATAAACCGAAGACAGCTCCATTTATTTCGTTTTCATTTAGAATGTGAGGTGTGCTTTTTATGTTCTTTTTTATTCTTTATGCTTATTTCTTATTTCGATACTTTTCGAGTTCGACTTTTTTCAATTCGACCTTTTTATGCTATGTTTTTTTTAGAAAGGAATTTTTATTTCGATACTTTTCGAGTTTGACTTTTTTCAATTCAAGCTTTTTCTGCTTTGCATTTTTTTTAGAAAGGATACCAACGAAATTAAGACACTGGACTAACTTTTGTCCTGACTGTACTTACGTTACATTTACAAAAATTGAATTTCGATTTTACGAACTTGTTTCAATAAAATCCGTATATTGATTTAATTTTTAATTATAATTCAGATAATATATTGATTTTATGCTCCATATTGCATATAAATATGTGATATTTTAGAAATTGTGATGAAGTTTTGTGAAAGAATTCCAGGACATTGAAAGTCACCTACATTCCGGAATGGAATCGTTGCATCCAGAAAGGGAATATATATACTATATAGAAGGCGAATATTCCAAGAGAGTGTGAGATAGAGAGAGAAAGAGAGATGTTGGTTGGGGGGCAAAAGCTTGTCACGAAGGAACGTGACGATCGATGAGAAGTGCATTTTTTACCCTTCACAGAATCGAGGAGTGTCCTTTCGTCAGCAAAAAAACACTTGTGCTCGTCGACATTAAAAGTGCGAAACGAGAAACTATGAAAAAAACAAGAAAACTATTACAGATGCCGAGAAACTAACTCCTTCCAAGAAGAAAATTTTCCAATAGAATCATCGAATAATGAAAATGAATCAAATTCGTCAAAGATTATAGGCACTAAAGGAAAAAATCCAAATATAAGTATATTGTGGTAGAAAGTAAATAAATGAAATAAATGACAAGAAAACTAACCTTAAAGCAAAGGGAGAAAGATGTGAACAGACTTTTAAGTGTTGGTATCGAAAAAAGGGAGGGGGTAATGGAGAAATGGAAAATCAGTGGAATATAAGTGACCTTGATTGATCCCTTTTTTTTGAGGTAAATTTCCTTTTTTTGGATGAAAATTTTTTGCGACGTTCCGACGAGGAAGGAAATTCGGCGCCGCGGATGGTCTAGAGCGAGAGCGGTGTACAGAAAGCCACTGCGCGAACGGACGCGAGGAACGACGGACGCGAAATGGCCGCCCCAGGGATAAATGGCCCAACTAGAGAAACGTTTACATTTCAATTGGTGAAAAAAGTTTTCAATATTAAACAATAAAGTGTGTTTAGTGCGTGGGTGAAAAGTGTTTGTTAAAATTTCACTTCATTAGAGGGGAAAATACAAGTTGAAAATAATATCGACACCAACACACAAACACATACACTCACTCTCTCTGTCTCTCTTCTTTTAATACAGTGGTGTGTTGTTGTCTTCTGCTATATTGCTCCCTCCAAAAAAAAAGTTCGCTTCTCAGTTTTCTCTCTTTCCTTATGTGTGTCCAAATGTCTCTGCGGATGTGTACGCCTTTTTTTCCAAACGTGTGTTAATCGAAAAAAGAAAAACTCCTCGAAATAATATACAACAGTGCGAGGTTATGAACGTTTTGTGAACCGACGCCAGGATTCTCGAGAGAAAAAAAATATTTGTTTTAATAAAGTGGAAATTGTGTGTGTGTGTGTGAAAATAGTGTTTTTGGAGAAAAAGAAAACTACAGTGAATAGAGAAATATTTTTTTTCGAAAATTAGTGGAAATTTATAACGTCCGACGGATCTGATTTGGAAATAAACTTTTCGTTATTATTCTACCTGGAAAATCGGGAGAAAAAGGTGAGCTTTTCTTTTCTTTAACAAGTGACCTTTTTGCCGGTATAAAAGAAAATATAAAATTGGAATTCTCGGTTTGGGGGGAAAAATGAAGATCGAGAAAAGTGAATTAGGAATTTTCGTTTGAAAATCTATATTCTAGTTTATAAATTATTACGTAAATTTTGTTAAATATACCTAACCTTAAAAAGTGAAATTATTTCCAACTTGTAAATTCTAATTATCGAGCCTTGAAAATTGGAAAATTCGTAAAATTGAAAATTAGAAAATTAAAGTCCTTCTCGAATCGTAAGTGTAAAATTGATATTTTCTCAAAGTTCGACGACTAATGGTGAATTTCAAACAAGAAAAAGCGAATTAATTCAGGGATTTTTCAATTTTAATAAAAAGGAAAATAAGTGTAAATTCTTTCGTTTTTCGTTAAAAAGATGAGAAATGTTAAAAAAGAGAAAAATAAAAGTATTTTTCACTAAGCGACGGTTCGTGAACTTTTGGGAAAGTAAAATTAATTTCTAAATTAGTTTTTAAAAAATAGACATTTTTCCATTAAACGAACAAAAAGGGAGAAAATATCAATTTTACGAGTGTAAAAATTTTTTGTGACAAACGAAGTGAACCAAACCAGATTTTCTTTACTAAATTACTCTATTTTTACTTATTAATCAATAAACAAATATTATTAATTATCTAATTCGTTTTTCTAAAGACAATTTAATTATCCAATTTTAAAAATTACAAATACGTCAATTTTTCTTTTCATGGAAAGTGTGAAAAAAATCCAAGTTTCGTGTCGAACAAAGCGAGTGTTTTTTTCGAAAAGAAAAATTTAATTTTTCAAAAAGGAAAATAAAAAATTCTGTTTTATTTGAAAACAGAAAATTTCTTAAAAAAATTAAACTTTTACTTTTCAAAAAACTTGGGATTTTTTTTCCCATGCGAAAGTCAATTTCCAAAATAATGCAAATTTTCTCAAAAAAACACTAAATTCATAATCCCAACAATGAATTGTTCAATTAAATCTATTTTTTATTCGAAAATTCGAAATTTTTTTTTTATTTTCCCATTTTTTCGGATCATTTCCAAAGCGGTGGAAAATAGAGAAAAATAATTGAAAATCCAGAGTAAAAAGTGAAAAATATTCATCGTTCATTATAAATGTTGATGAAAATAATAATTTTTAATAAAACATATTTTTTGAAATTATCGAAAATTGGAAAAATCTGGTTGGTTTCGTGATGTTTTTGCAAAAAAGGGAAATTTTCGAAAAAAATGTAAAAAATGGATAAAATTGTTTTTTAAAATTAAAGTTTATGAGGTTTTTTTAGAAAAATTTGGAAAATTTGGAATAATTTTCAATTTTAAGGTCTATTTTTGGGGGCAAATTTGAATTTTTTCCTGCTTTGATTTTTTCGAAGAAAATGTTAATAATCTTGAAGTTTTTAATCTGTTGGTCAATTAAATCTATTTTTTATTCGAAAATTCGAATATTTAGTTGGTTTTTAGGATTTTTTTCGAAAAAGTCACTAAATACGTGGAACTTAGACTCACGAAGAGAGGGACGTGAAGTGTGACACGACTTCTAAGAAATTTATTTCCGTTCTTTTACAATATTTTTCAATAAATTTTAATTCTTCTTTTTTAGAATAAAAATCTGTTTCTTTTTTTTATTTTAAAAATTTCCGATTTAAAAATATTTGACAGTTTTTTTTTTATAAAAATGGTGAAAACTGTGAATAAATTTGTAAGTTTATCAAAAAAGTATTTGTTTCCCTTTTTAGGAAAAATTAGTTTTTTTACAATTTTAAGTATATTTTTTACTAAAAAATACTTAATTTCTTAAAATCGAATTTTTTTCTTTTTGGTAAAAGAAAAGTTGGTTTTTTTCCACTTGTCAAGTGTCTGAATTTTTACTACGTGAAAGACGGAAATAAATTTTTAAAAAGTGTTGAAAAATGTTTAAAATTTGTGGCCTGGAAGAATTTTTTTCAAAAGTTTTTTGATTTTTTGATTTTATTTAATATTTATAATTATTGTATATTTATAAATTTATTATTATATTATTTATTTATTTTTTTATTAATTTTCTTATTTAATACTTTTTTATTATTTATTAATAATAATTACAAAAAATTGAATTTTAATTACAAAAAAGAATTGAAAATTAATGTTAATATTTGAAAAGACTTTTTTTTAATTATAACATTAATTTTTTGAAGAATATTTCTTTGCGACTATATTTTCCGTTACTTGACCAATTATTATTCCGTTAATTTATAAATATATATATGCAGTTCGTAATTTAAATAATAATTGTGCTCCACAAAATCGATATTTCCATGTCAATTTCATTCCGTGTCTTATACTTAATCTAAAATTAAATTTTCCGTTCGATTTTCAGATAATTGGATTTTAGTGAATCGTCTGTGAATTTTCGTTTTAAAATATTTATTTTATAAAAGTGCTTATATATTCTTTGGTGTCCGAATTGTGTCGAGATTGAAAATTTAATCTTTCTTCCTTTTTTTAACGTTGGCTTGTTAAATTTTTATTTCAGTAAAATTTACTTATTTAAAAATACATAAACTTTTATAAAAAAAATGTCTGCCCTATTTTCTATATATTCTCCTAAATTAAATATTTTATTTTATTAAAAATTTTTTAAATTATGTAAAAAATATTAATTAAACCAAAGTTGTTTTCTTTTCAACGAGGAAAATATGTTTCGCGCAAAGTTTATATTAAAATTTATTTTATTATTATTTTTTGCTTTTATATATGAAAAAAATTCTTTTTTAAATATTCATAATGCAAATTGAAAGCTAACTATATCTGTATGTATAAGGCACAAAGTAATTCGAGAAATTTTTTTTGTTTTTTTTTATTATTACTATTTTTTAAGCAAAAATATAATATAAAATATAATATTTCCTTTTGATTTCCAAGTTTCATTTTAAAACGCAACAAAGGAACTAACAATGGCTTGGATCAAATGTTCGATATACACGTACATTATTCATCAATATTGTATTATGTAAAGTCCCGTTTCAAAATGGATACTTCGACGTGCTTTCTCAGCATTGCTGGCTTCAAGAAACGAAACAGTGATGCAAAGCGAAACTTTATTTTTATTTTTATTATCAGCTCTCCATCTTCTTCTTTTTCTTCTTCTTCTTTTTTACATTAGCCTTTAAAGAAAACAATAAATAGGTAAAAAATATAAAAGAAAAAGAAGGAGAAATTCGCTTTTCCCTAAAAATTTAAATAAATAAACAAATTTTTAATACGACCGAGGGATAGAATGAAATTTATTATTATTATTAGGGGGCCATTCACATAATATGCAACTTTTTTTTTTACTATTTATACCCCCTCCCCCTCAATGTCACACACTATTATATACAATTAGCGCCTTTTTTCTGCAGGGTGTCGCAAATTGTTCCCCCTCCCCTCCTTGAAGTGTGACGTAATATATAATTATGAACGAACCCTTAATATTATTATAATTATTTTTTAAAGAGAATTATTATAAAGGGAAATTGTATCATTATTACGTCACAGTTTTAGAACACATGCTTTGCACAAAATGCAATTTGAATAAAATTCTTTGCAAAATTCAATTATTTAAAGAAAATCAATATTCATCACAAGAGTTCAATTATTTTTAAAAATAACAAAATTTTTAGAATGAATTCAATTGTTTTCAATTTTTTTTTTATAAAATTCATCGCAGAAATTCAATTATTTTCAAAAATAACAAAAGTTTTAGCAGATAAAATTATGCTATTTATGAAATTTTTGAAAATTATTAGAAAATTCTACGAAAATCCAATTATTTAATTAAAAAAATAAATAATTTATTAAATTACTCAATGTTTCTTCGAATTGAATTTTTATAAAGAACTTTATCATGAAATTTTTAAATAATTGAATTCTTTCGACTAATTTTAATAAAATTTTTAAGAATAATATGATCACCAAGTTTTGAACGTTCAAATGAACGAAATATTTTTTATTGAAGATATTTTTATGCATTACTAATCACAAAAAATTTACAAACTGAAATTTTACGTTTAGAAACTCAGTAATTAATTTTTTGGTTAGAGACGCAAAATAATTGCAATAAAAATTTAATTTGTTGAAGAAATAAATAAATTTCGTTCATTTGAACGTTCAGAACTTTAGGATCTTAGAATAATGACAATTTTTCAGAATTTTAATTAAAAATTGTATTAAAAATAATTAAAATTCTCCTATCAGTTTTATTATTTATGAAAATAATTGGATTGTTTTTGTAAAACTTTTATTATTTGTGAAAATAATGCAATGTTTGCGTAGAATTTTATTTAAATTTTTTTTAAATAATTGAATTCTTATGAAAAATTTTATTAAAATAATAGATATTAAAAATCATTGAAATGAGAAATTTTTTAAAAAAAATTGAAATTTTGCCAAGAATTTTATTAAAATTTTTGAAAATAATCGAATTCCTAATTAAAATTTTGTTATTTTTGAAAATAATTGAATTACTGAGAAGAATTTGAATTTTATGAAAATTTTACCAAATAATTGAATTCCTGTTAAAAAATTTTTTTTTTAAATAATTGAATTTTTGGGAATATTTTTGTTATTTATAATAATAATTGAATCCTTGACAAGAATTGTATTACATTTTTAAATATAAATTGAATATCTGCGAAGAAAATTATGATAATTAAATTATGATAATTATGATAATTTTTGAAAATAATTGAATTTATCCGAAGTATTTTATGAATTTCAGGAAAATAATTGAATTTCTTTGAAGAATTTTGTTAAAAAATGTTTAAAATAATTTAATTCATAATAAGAATTTTGTTCTTTATGAAAATAATTGAATTTTTACGAAGAGTTTTGTTATTCATAAAGATAATTGAATTTTTGTTAACAACTTTATTAAAAGTTTTGAAAATAATGGAATTTTTGCGAAGAATTTTATAATTATTTTTGGAAATAATTGAATTCTT